ACCCCTCCAGAAACAATGATTCTAAATGCTAAGCGAGATGACTAGAATTAGAATTAATCGCATAATACATAATACACAAAGAATTCTCACCCGGGTCGCTTGGATTAATACTATCAATCGTTCTAACCTGATTCCAAATAAAACGAATACTGTCATTAGACGACTAATAAGATCAAATATTTATAGTGCAGTAATGTGACTTACAAAAGGTGTAATAGGATCTGTCGATTCATTGAGATCCATAGATCCTCTCAGATAAGGCCATGAGTAAACTCCAGCATGACTAACAGCAACACAACATTAGTTGTAGGTAGTTCAATTCCTAATAACCAAACCGCAAAATCATACCTATGCATATCGACAATACCAGGTGATATAAACTTTCCACGAACATCAATCGCAACATCAGCTTCTCCTTCATCAATATCCTTTCCAAATTCCTCAATAATACCGTTCTTTATTAACAAATCACCATGTACAACAGCTCCGACACCATCAAGAATAATTCCATTTTTTAGCAGCACGCTCTTAGTTCCAGGTACGGCTCGTGGGTTATGACGTGTCACTCTTGGAGTATTCTCAGGCCTTCGCTTCATTATAGCCATGCATTTTCCTAGACCTTCTCGAAAGTTGCTTTGTGATATTCCAGGAGGCACTAAAATGCGGTGCACTTTATAAACAGACAAGAACGTTGACGTAATGGCTATGATAAATAAGAGAAAAAATGATCTTTTGAGATTGGATTTAAAGTAGTGGTGAAAAAAGGCATGTGGCCGGGTGTGAGGGGTATCATAAAACATGATAGTTCCTTCTTTATGGACAGATAAAATTGAAAAAAGTCAAAATCTCCCCAGGTGGCAAAAATATTTGATTGTTGATCATCTAAAAAACAGATAATCGTAATGAACCTCTTTCGTAACACAATGCAAGCCATGGCATTCCAAATGTTGGAACTAGCGGATGACATTTGCCTACATGCTCCTTAAGATTGCAGTAGGAAATTTATAACGGTTGGAATGAAGATAATTACTATGTCGCTTGTATTCCCAAACCATTAGCAAGAATTCCTCCGTTTGGCTGAGGCAGAGTTTTACGTATAATTAGTGATGTATATTAAGAATAGTGCGTACTAAAATAGGGCAAAGACTTTGCTGAATATTAATCTCATGTTAACGTAGAGTCTATGGTATTTTTCAAAGAGCTATTATTGTCATTGGTATATTCCTGATCAGATTAATGTTATTTCACTCCGTTAAGGCGTATCCGTTCGCGCTGTTCGCTTGAAAGCTGCTTTCCGTGCATTGTAACTGTTGTGGTTGCATGATAATTAAAAAGCAAATTCTTTATTTGTTTGTCGCGTTATTATTATGTTTATTAGTAAAACATATGTTTTTTTTTTTTTAAAAAAAAAAAATTATCCTGCCCATTTGTACTATGTGAATTACAATAGTTCTTGTATGGTTCTGAAGCTAATTGATTGTGCTTTTCGAAAATAATAATTATATATTATTGGTATATACACGTATATAAGCTGTAACAAGTTGAAGTAGCTGTCTTTAAATTACAATGTGAAAATGATGGTATGGGGGGCATGCTGCAACTGCTGGTTTGTTTATTTGTTTTTTTGTCAACTAACTGAGCTTAGTCTTGTTAATTAATATTAATTAATATAAAAGCAGGCACCATTGAACTGATTCGAAACGCGGTTTTTTGTTATGTTTTCAATTTGTACACTAAACTAACTTTTGATTTCGAATCCGTGGTCATGATGTATGCATGAATGTTGTACCTCAGTTGGCTGAGATAACTGAGTTCTGGACTAAAGTGACTGGGTTTGGAACCGAGACAGGTCCCAACTCAGACACAGCAATTATAATCAGCGAAAGAGTCTTTGCGTTAATCGCGCCACAGACAATCGGTTATTCACATAGTAATATGTGAGATCTCTTTCACAATTTACGTTTTGACCTTTGCATCCCTACTCATCAGAATTCGACTCTTACAAGAGTCTGGTAAGCAATAAAGTAGTGTATGTAATTATCAATCAACTAGCACCCATGAATAGCCTTAATGTAAATTCAAACCCTTTATTAAATCATAAATAATCTACAACATTATTTGCGTCCGAAATTAAAACACGCCATCCCAAAACCAAAACTTCTTTTTACAATCTATATAGCCTTATTTGTAGAATATATTGTAGGAATTAGATCCAGACCGCTAATATCATCATTCCATATTGTAGGTCGGCTTCGACGGAGAATTAAAAGACGAATAGAGGTATACACAAGGATTACGCAACCCATTCCAAGAGGTATTAGCCAGAAAAACGGACTAAGCTTGTAGCTTGTTTGGAATGCCACGTTGACTGGAGGAATATAAACAATAGCCATTGCCAGAGCTGCACCACCAGCGACACCAGCAAAATTTCGTGGATTCGAGAACATAAATTTGCCAAACGGTAGCTTAAATCTGGCTTTCACGGCAAAAAGATTAAACATTTGTTGAATCATGATTGCAAGATACACTATCGACTGTCCTTGTCGTAGAGCTTCTATTTGTTGACTTGCAGATAAAGTTTTGCCACTAGATGTTACGTAATCAGGAGACCCATCAACGAAATATACTCCCTGATTTTGCATGTCTCGCGCATCGGAAGGTGTTATACCATTATGGTTTAAGACAACCAAATAAGAAATAATCGCACCAATTGATTCGATTATTCCGATTTCCAGGTAGGCCCAACTTAAAACATTTCCGTCTACAAGTATTTCTCCCTCGCCTCTGTCCAACTTTTGTTTCCACCACTCTTTACTCGTCAATTTCTTTAACCGCAAAATAAATCGGTCCATTCTGGAAATTTGCTTGGGTAATCCTGTCTCAGGATCTGTAATGGTTGGTGTACGCATAAGAGCATAACTCCGAATTCTTTCCGTGGTTTTTGCCGTAACTGGCCTTCGAGGAGGTAATTTCATCAATCCGGTTGTACTTTCTGGCTTATCCCAAGCAAAAGATAGAGCAGCGAATAATTCATAACCCAGATCAATGACCAAAATAAGAATGGCTGATAGCGGTAATGGAAGAGGGACGACAACGTATAGAAGCACTACTGCAATCTCGGGTGTTAAATGAGAAATTGTATACTGAATGGATTTCTTGAGGTTCATAAAGATTAAACGACCTTCTTCGATCCCTTTTACTGTAGATGCAAAATTATCATCCAATAAAATCATAGCCGCTGCCTCCTTTGATACGTCTGAACCAGATTGGTTCATTGCAATACCTAGATCTGCCTTCTTGAGAGCAGGTGAATCGTTGACACCGTCGCCAGTAACTCCTACAATATGCCCCATAGCCTGAGCGCGTTTAACTATTTCAAGTTTGTGTCGAGGTGATGTACGCGCAAAGATGATTTCGCCCTTAGAAAATATGTTGTCCCAATCAAAATCACTCAAACTATCGATTTGCTCTCCGTGAATTACAATTGCACTGTATTCCTCTTCCCTAACTTGTTCCACTGGTATTCCTCTACGCTTTGCCACCATTTCCTTCGTTTCAGACAACATGAGATTAATCTTACGCGCAATTGCTTCAGCTGTTAGCGGATGGTCACCAGTCACCATGATAACACGAATTCCTGCAGACCGACAATGTCCTATAGCTTCACGAACACCGTGTTTTGGAGGATCTTCGAGAGAGGCCAAGCCAACGAAACAGTAATTTTCCGTAGGAAAATTCTTTTCTTCCTTTTTGAACTGATAATCAGCTGGATATTGACTGCGTGGCAATGATAACTGTGCAAATGCCAATACACGGTGACCTTTCGATGCCATGAATTCGTACGTATCGCTATACTGCTGCTTGTGCTCATCCGTCAACGGGATTACTCCATTTTCAGTGAGTATGGTAGAGCAAAATCGTAAGACACGTTCGGGTGCACCTTTCATGTAGAGGGTTAGGTCGCCATTTTCATGTGGTTTCTGGTTAATCGTAAGCGCCCATTTAACTTCAGAGCTGAACGGAATTTCGAAAACCTTTCGATAATCGGCGACGACTTTATCAAAATCCGGTAAATTTTGACCGGCAAAGCGAACGAGTCCGGTCTCTGTTGCATCACCAAGAATTTCTCGCTCGCTAAATGGTACATCCGTTCGATCAAACTTTGCGCGCGAACATAGAGTAGAGTTCAAAATAATTTCTTGAACACCAGGGGCGTTCGCGTCAAATGGTGAATTTGGATCACTTAGGTTTCGGAAAGTACTGTGCAATTTCAATGCTGTCCAAACATAAGCCACGGTCATTCGATTTCGAGTCAGAGTGCCGGTCTTATCTGTGGCCAATAGAGTTATGGCGCCAAGCGTCTCCACACCTTGAAGATCCTTGACTAATACATTCTGTGCAGCCATACGTTTAGCGGCAATTGTCAGCAACACCATGACAGTAGCTGGTAATCCCTGTGGCACCCAAGCCACTAACACAGACATAGCAAAATTGAGAGTAGGAGAAATCTGATTATGATAGACTTTCATTCCGGCGCCGAAAAAGATAATAGCCGTGATTATGGCAACCGTTGCAATAATTTTCACAAAGTCGTCTATTTCGCGTGACAGTGGTGATTCATTTTTCTTCTCCCCTGCAGTCAAACCGGCAATTTGTCCCAGTACTGTGTGATCGCCTGTACGAATGACAATACCATAACCCTCTCCAGCGACAACAACAGTGCCGTTGAAACAAATATTCGTTGCTTCCAGAGGATTTTCGTGAGAGTTAGTTATTGATCGGTCTTGTGGTTCCGATTCACCAGTCAGAGAAGAGTTGTCCACTTTCATATCAGTAGCTCCAAATAGCATCACATCGGCAGGAACTTTGTCTCCTATCTTTATCAACACGACATCTCCACAGACAAGATTTGCTCCCTGTATTGGGGTTAACTTTCCATCACGTTGGGAAATACACCTTTGTGGAATCATGTTCAAGAAGGATTCAAGGATTGCGGCGGACTTTTGAAGTTGATAGAATTCTATGAAAGCATTAAGGAAAGCAACACCAATCAAGATAGCTCCGAGGTATATCTAAATCGACGTGTTAAACTAGTTAGCAATGCAAGCCAATGCTGACTTGTGGTGTAAGACGCCAAAGCAAGACAACTCACGTTGGGCTTATTAGCTTCATAATCAATAGCTAACAGAATGTATTGGAAAATTGCTGCAACAATCAACAGTATATTGAATAAAGTTGATAAACACTTTAAATATTTGATGATCGGATGAATCTTCTTTGGTGGTGTTAGGACGTTTGGTCCATGTTCAGCCAATCGTTTTTCAGCCTCTGCTGTTGACAATCCTCGCGACTGAGCAGGATTCTCGATGTTAATGTCGACTTTATATCGTTTGGCGATTTCCTCTGGTGTAAACAAGTGTTCATTCTAAAGATATTAGATCACGTTAACATGCATCACAGAATGTGTGAACAGAGTGAATTATGTGTATAAAGCATACTGACAATATCGACAGGCTTTGCCTTGGTATCACCGTCATGAGGAGCGTTTTGCTTCTCGGAATGTGATGTTGCAGTAGGTGGTGTCGGTTCTATAGTGGGCGTGCGCTCGGGTTTTTCGACACTGGTGAATTGAATTTTTGAGTGCTGGTCTGACTGTGGAGCAATCTCTGAAGTGTCATCAGATTGTGACATGGTTGTATTCGTAAAGCGGCGTGTTCCCACGGGAATTGCAAGTAGAAGCTAGCCGATAACGCTACAGAATGGAGTTTATAGATTATGATCTCAAATACTCCGCTTTGAAACGGGCTAATCTTGCGTTGTTATCAGCAGCACGAACACTGGCTACCTTGAGAGACAGTCTCTTTATAAACCTATTTATATTCTTTTAAAAAGTTTAACAGACCCTGTGTCACACACAACTGGGAACGTGAACGTGGCTAAAAATACACGATGATGCAATCGTTTTGCTACAATCGGGTTATTGTTGCTTTACTACAATATAAAAATTCAATCGAAACTGCCAAATTTGTTCAAATGAAAGGTGGTAATTAAAACCAGGGATCTGCTGTCAACCGGGCGAAGGCACCAGTGGGGATTTTGCACAAGGTTGTACTATGATCAGACAGCGCTAAGGGGCGTCTGATAATAATGATAATAACAGATGCATGTACCGTACATTAGTTGATTTGCAAGATATCGTGTAACCAAACCAATCAAATGCAAGCAGTTCACGAGACTGTCTGAATAAGGCAGTCCAATATATGGAATTGGTTTCCTTTATTTCTACATACACAGTGAAACTCGATAAACGGACACGACTGGCTGGGCATGGTTATCCGACTTATCAAGGAATCCGACTTGTCGAAAGGATTTTAATATGAAAAAATGAAAAGGGCAGAGTGATTTTGTCCGACTTGTCCACTTGTCTTTTGACTATCGAGTTTCACTATGTACTAACAACTTTTGCATTGAACGACCTCCACAATACTTTTAGGATAAGAGCATCCGTAGGATATTATATTAGCTTAAAAGGTGATGTCATATTGAACGTGTGATGCATGATAAAAGTAATGGTAACACATATGTTGATTTATGACGTAATGTATTTATGCCATAGGTACGGACTTTTATTGCCAAGCAACGCAGGTATGCGCTAATGCTAGTTTGATTTCATTTACACTAAATCTACGTAAATTTTGTCGATCAGGGTAAAACATGAAAAACTTTCGATGAAGTGGCAGTACTTATGTTATACGTCATATACATATATATCAACCAATTAGCTTCAAAATCATTGCAATTTACAGAGTAAATACAATAAAGATTTTCGGAAAAAAGATTTTACTAGTAATTTTGAGGATACTGTACATTCTCATATGTGTAACATAGACACTATTGTGACTTACACAGTACGTATGAGCAACGGGGAGATGCTTAAAAGGGGTTCTTTTTCATGGTTATTAAGTGATCGACATTTACGTAGACCTTTGTCCAGTGGTATAAAAGGTAAGATTGAACAGATTACCTACTATAGTCTGCTGATCGGGGAAAAAAAAGGACAATCGGACTTGCGATCAACTTAACGGAATAAGATTGATAAACTGGTAATCTGATATGTCAACTCATCGACAATATCGAGACAAAGAGAGAGAAAACCTGCTTTCTGGTAACAAACGATCGGCCAACAATCTCAACTAGGTTAATTATGGTTAGACGCATCGCGATAAGTCAGATCGCATAATGCTGGTGCTACAACAATCCTTTGCGCAACCAGAATGAGATATTTTTTGGTTAACGGAATAGACAATATTAATTACAAAACGAAGTTCTAATTATGATGATGGACGAATTAGATCATGTGGTCATAAGTATTCTGGACCCTGAATCGGTAGATAACAACATGGCGGTTCAAGCAAATGAAATTTAAAAGTTTAACTTTTGGAATTTATGAAGAACTTCCGTCACATTTGCATCAAAAAGGTGTCTGCGCACGTTGACTAACAAACCCCATTTTGTATCTCCGTAATCTGTAAGTAGCAATAATTTAGGTATCGATATGAAGCTGATTGCTTGTACTTTCGAAAAATAATGCTAAATTCAGATGTATTGTCGATAAAGGCTGTAGTTCAACGAAGTGGTAATAGATAGTAATAGGTTACATATGCAAATCTGTACACATGCACAGTACAAGCAATCAGCTTACATATCAATACCTAAATTATTGCTTCTTACATATATATACAGATTACAGAGAGAATGTTTTATAGTAAATTTCAAGGGGTGTAGGCCGTGCAACATTATGAAACGTCATTTATGGTAAAGATTACTGTTTCCAGGCTTCTGTTGAGTTGCGCAAATGTTGTGCGTGATACAGTATTTTTTTATTCACACTTTTTTAACATTCAAATTGATTAAGATAAAGCTGATAAAAGTTTTAATAAAACATCTGTATAAAACATTAATCTACATCAAATCCATATGGAACCAAAGAACAGTCTTTGAGTAATAACGTTTGAGAGTCTCGTCATCACAAAGACTTCACGACCGTTTGCAGTAATTGAAGACTATCCAGATTTTAAATAGCAAATCTTAGTAATAATGCAGAAATGAGTTGTAAGGAACTGCCTCAATTTAAAATTGTCCTGGCGTTTGAGAAGTCTATACTTGTAACAATCGGTTAGCTATCTGTGTTTGCATAGCGTTGTCTGCTGCGCTCAATTATGGTTCGGAATTTCTCTTTCTTCACCGTCCAATCTCCAACTTGCTTTTTACCCTAATGGCCTGTACTGTTAAGAAATCGTTGACGACACGATAAAAGTCCTAGGTGTCGAAGACGATGGTCCGCGAAGGTGTGTGTTCTGTACGACGTTCCACCTTTTCGCTAACGATGTTTAAACTAAAGACATCGTTAATATTAATACTACTGGATGATGATTTACTTCGTTTTTACTACAACAAATATAAAGGAAGTTGGTCGGAAATTGCAAAAGAGTTACCAGGAAGAGACAATAGAGCATGTTATAATCGGTGAGTTTTACTTTATTTTTTCGTTGTAGTTCTGAAATTTATTGTTTGATTTATATTCAGATGTCTCTATCAAGTATTCTTGTTATACAACTTTATTGCTTTCTTTACAGTTACGAAAGCACCTTAAAGAAATGGGAAATAGACGGTTTGAAAGAGAATTATAAATACTACGGTAATCATTGGAATCTACTTATTAAAGATTTAGAGGGCAGGACCCCTTTGCAAGCCAAAAATTATTTTTACGGTATGAAAAAACCTTCAGAGTAAGTAAATCGTCGAACATTTATTTAATAAGCAAGACTGATATCTATATGCCAGAGTTATTTTACACAGGCAATTGATCAAGGAAAGAATGTCAATTTGTCAAATAGTGAATAAGAATCACTCTACGGAACCAAACATTCCAGAATCTTTTATGGAATACTTTATAGAGAACAACAACGTTGAGCTTGCAGTCCCGTGACTTTCAGATGCGGATGTCTACTTTCTATGGATATGGCAATGCGTCCGTGTTCAGGAAAGGAGTAATGTTTATCGTCCGATGAGGTTATCCTAGTTAGAAGGGGTTCAGGAAATACAAATGGAAGTCTTTCGTAGACGAGTGTCGTCTTGCGCGGATGATTAACTTGATGCTAGACATTTTGATTTCTGTGGGGATGGCTGTTTTATTAACGTAATATAGATTTTACGATGTTATAATTGGAATTAATATCAATCTTGTTTAACCCTCTAATATATTTATAAAGACAACGGAACGTATCAAAAAAATTCGAATTGCATGGAATTACCCATGAATTAACGATTTGTGACCGCGATCCATCATAGTCTGTGTTTGCATGTTCCATGCGCGTAGGCTCCATATAAGATTGCATGTTTTATGCATGTTTTATGCATGTTTTCGGTTCCGCCATTCAAATACCGACAACCATAAACATATTTAAAGACATTATCCCCC